GTTTCCTTGTTTGAACTTTATCTCAATTGTTATTATGTTTCTCTCTAGAAATGAATTTGTAGCTATCCTGTTGTTGCTCAGTCTGTCAAAGCACTTTATGAACCCTTTTTTAAAGTGCCATATAAACAACGTTATCATTACTGTTTCCTTTAAAGAAATAGTTTGACATTTTGAGGATTATTTGTCCACTTATTGCTGAGAGTATGATGAGAACACTCAGGTTTGTGCAAGCTGAGCATAGCAAAAAGACTGGATAGTCTGGCACCTCTATACACCAACCAATCACAACATTGATACGACCTCTCTGTTATTGTGCAGGAGCTCTTCATGCCACCAAAACAGTTCTGACATGTCGAGCCATGGACATTCAACCTCTGGATATGTCCTGTAGTGTCTGGCCCCAGGATGTTGGCAGCAGGTGCATCCTGTGAAAGCTCTATTGAACTGGAGTATGCAGAGTTTGGATGCCAGATCAACACCTTGAGCTCTTGGTCCTGTTCCTCAACCAACTCTGTCATCGGGAAATACCACTACCATGGTCTGCAACAATGTTTAGGTAGGTGCTACATGTCAAAGTAATATCCACATGAATGCCAGGACCCACAGTTTCCTGGCAGATCTTTGCTTTGTCACAAGACGATATTCACTTAACCTGTGGGTGGTTTTATTGTTGTGGCTGATCGGTGTAGGTCACTAATGAACATGTAATGTCTTGTTTAAAGCATCCGCCATCCACTGAATGCTGAATTAAGTGTTGGACTAGTTGTGGGCTCAACGCATTGACCTCAAAATGACAATGAGACTCCAGGAAGGCACCTCTGTAAAACCAGTGTGGCCATTCATGGACTTAGATTAATCAAACCAGATACAACATGTTTAACAAGTGAGTTCAATGACTCTTTGGTGGTCGCTTCATATTTGGCACACAGACACAAGGCTGGTCTTCTCATTTAACTCCCAGCAAGTGAAAATGTGTCACCCCCCTCCTTCCCACTACCTTCAACTCACCCAAATGGAATAAGAAACACAAATGAAATTATTTGAGGTGGTGGGTGCTGAACACAAAAGCATATTTAGCAACTGCTGACTACCATTAAATACAGCACAAAGGCTCCGTGGGTGCAGTTATGGACGCAGCAGAGCACAGAAACAGGGTTGAGCTATTCAGTTCATTTTTTTTTTAACTGTCTTTGTTCTTTTTTTTCCCCTCCTTATCACTTTTGTTTTGTCACACAGATTTTCTCTTGTGGATTTGTCTTTTATTTATAATTTCAGTCTCTCCTCCCCTGTCGCTCTCTCGCTGTCTCTCTCTCTCTCACACACACACACATACACACCCACACAATGAATCCATGAGGTGAAGCCCTCACAGCAGAATCATTCTCTGTCACTGGGTTGTATTTATAACCCCATCTATCAAGCAGCCCCCAGGAATATGTGACACTATTCTCTGGACTGAGACCACCAAACTGCCCCCCAGCCATACATTAAGATAGGATAAGTGTGCGTGGGAGTGTGTGTGTGTGTGTGTGTGCGCAACCATTTGTGTACGGGCCTGTGGTAAGCAGATATAAGAGCGGCACATCATTACAGAAAACATACAGACGCTCCCCAGCTCTTGTCCTACTGTTGCACTGGAGGTCAGAGAAGAAGAAGAAGACAAACAGAATAAAAACAACCAAGGAGAGAGAGAGAGATAGAGAGATGGAAGTCGCAAGGGACGCTGATAGAAAACAGAGAAGGGCAGCTATAAAAGAAAGGGATTAGGGAGCGATCGGAGTGGAGGTAGAGAAGGAAAAACAGGAGGGTGCTCGCGCTTGCTGCTTCTCTCTGATGAGAGCCGAGATCTATATCCCCTCCTGTCCAAGGTCATGGTTGTTACATGGGAGCAGAGCAATCTCTTGGACTCACACACACATACACACACACACACACACACACGTCTTGAGGTATAGCTTTGCCGATAACTACAAGCAGCCATTATAGATTAAAGCAATTAAACCAGATGAGGCCTTTGACCCAACATTATACCACAGTCAGGATCTTGTGTGAATCATAAGGTGTGTGTGTGTGTGTGTGTGTCTAAGTAGAGGGCATGCTTTACATATGCTTGCATCTGCACTAACTGCTCACCCTCATGTTAACCTTAAGAAGTAATACGGCGATTTCCCTCAGCACCCTGAGGTCAATGAAAAGCTCCAAGTGTGCCGTATTTCCAAGAGCATTTACAGATTACCATAAATCGCAGATGACTTGCCTTTTTTTTTTTCCCCCCCACGTTTGATGTTTTCTCCCACCCTCCCTACTCATTAATTCAATTGTATAGCCATTTGCACGGGTGTTTTAAGCCAGTATTTGGAATCAAATCTTTCATTTGCGTCTATTAGCGTACTCCTAATCAACATCCACATGCAGTGGAAGGAAACACAGGGCGCCGTATTTTCGAGGATTGAGGAGGTAAATTTAGAGACAGGGGGAGGGGTACAAAAATAGAAATAGTCTGCTCCTTTCCCCGGCACAATTCTACTGCACAAGGAGGATGCAGTAAAAAAAAAAAAAAAAGTAGAGGGAGAAGTAGGTGCAAAGAAACAACAAACAGAAAGACAACAAGATGGAAAGTAAAGACGGACAGTACGACCAAAAGGAACCAAGGGGAGACCTGTGAGCATCCACCCTGCTGTTACATCAGTTTGCCCTCAGGGTCCACACGGAGGCTGCGTTGGGCTCCCTCTGCTGGTGCACTAAAACTCACCCAGTCCTCTTTCCTGCCATTACTGTTGATAACAAAGACCTTCACAGCATTTTCCAACAACTTATGAATGAACCCATTTCCACCGTGTTCCCGGTGCAGCAGCAATTATGGCAACAATTTCAAGCAATTCTGTCAATTCCGCTGAAGCGCTCCGTAACCGCCGGTCCGCCCTCACAACTGAGTTTCTTGTAAATGCCAAACAATTTTGGAGCAGATCAATAGCCGTGGTAGTAAACTAAGCTTGTTGACAGCTTAACACTGTTTCTCTGCTAACACTATCAGGCTCTATCAAAGGACTGTGTTCTTAATTGAGCCTTGAGAGTCGTATCTCTGCTTTTATGACAGCCTCGCTTCTGCTACTAGACAGACTCAGAGGGAGGATTTCCTGGAATAACATGACTGCCGAGATGCGTGGGTGGAGAATATGCACACTTATAGGCGAACACAAGGTACACACATTGACACAGAGACACACACTGGCACAAAGAAGTGCAATCCCCCTTGCTAAGCGTGTGGTCGCAGCAGGGAAAACTGGCAGGCCGAAAGGTAAAAGCAGAGCATGGAGTGGATGACAAAAATGTCTTCATTGGATTACTGTCCCATTGGCACACACACAAGTACACACACACACATACATGCAAGCTGGGCGGTGGGCTTCAGGTGCCAATTATAGCAATAAACTGAAACAGCAGGAATTGAACTGGAGGATAAAACACCAAATGAGTCACACACACACACACACACACACTATCTGGATCATTGCTCGGAAAGTGTGTATTAGCAACTGAAAACCTCATCTGACCCGTCAGTCACCTCAAAAATCCTCAAGTACAACAGGATCCGCGCACAAACATCCGCAGCACCTCACATGCCTCTGCGCGTTTATCTAAATCAACAGGAGTTTCCTTTGGCTTCCAGTTGGTTTCATCATTCATGCTCATTTCAATGAATATTTCAACAGTGTTTTAGTGTCTCCCTCACATGCATTGTCTCCTGCCGTTGAAACACTCCTCTTTCTCCTCCACTCTCTCCTGTCTCTGCCGCTGCCTATCTATACCTCCAGAGCCTTTGTTCTGCGTGAACTCCTCCGGGCTGTGACATACATTCAGCGCGATGTACACACAGCTTAAACAGTTAAGTCAGCCAGAAGCAGGAGGTCCGATTAGAAGCCTTAGCGGGGGCCTGTCACTGCATGAGTGTGTCCGACGTGAATCATCCCCCCTGTTTCATCTGTCTTGTGGAAGCCCGGGGTGGAAGTCTGTGTGGCAGTGATTGAGGAAAAAACTGCGAAAAATATCAATGAAAGCCAAAAATCATAGAGATGGAAAGCTTTGTTGAGCTTCAAAACAACACTGACTGGAGCCTTTTGGGGGTGAAGACTGAATGAAATGATTCACAGAAATGACAACTCAGCCACAGCTGCATCATCCCCAGTCAGACTGTCAGACAACAGCACACGCTCTTCCAATTTCGCTCAAATAACTTGCACCATAAACTAATTACAACTTGTGCACAGGGGGGGTTCTGCATTTTTTTTTCTGTCCCCCTCAACTTCCCATTAAAACAGACTAAAGCTCCCATGTTTCAGGCCACCAAGCAGTCAAGAGTAGTTAGTAAGTAAATGCATTGGCTAATTTCAGGCTGAGCATCGATGTTAATACAATAACTGAGAGAGGCTCAGCAGCAGCGTGTGACAAATTTAATGTAATTGCTGCTCCTCATTTGCAGACAGAAACAAGAGGGCTCCAGTCCAGAGGAAAACAACATCTATCAGTGCGTAATCATGGAGATATCTGTAATTAAGAGGGATTTTTGACAGAGATGTCAATATTGTTTTGGCATAATCATTATAAGTTGAGCCACTTCAACGCAAGATTCATAACATTCACATGAAAAGGATTTCCCGATGTCACAAAGTGAAACGTCGACCTCAGCCTCCTGTGCTGTGCCAAGGTCTACCCGTGTGTATCTGTCATACAATTTTAATGTCGGGAAAAGAAAAACGTGACGAACACTTTTTTTTTTTTTTTTGCCTCTCTCACTCCCCTTTCTCCGCTTTTCTTTATGCATGATTCATAACCAAAGCCGAGCACTTAACGGGAGTCTCCGCCGCTGCTGCGCTCCGCTCCTTTTTTTTTTTCCTCCCCGGCAAAGTGGGAACCGCGGGATGGATGTGGGGCTCCCCCTTCGTCCGCTTAAACAACAGCGCACCGACCAAAGTCATCCAACTTGAGGTGGCCTCACTCACCTTCATTCTCCGGGTAATTCCGTAAGGCTCGGCACGGCGACAACGCGTGAAAAAGGAGCAGGGAGGACAGGAGGGAAAGGGATGGATAGATCCACAGGACGCGTGGTGGTGCCATTTTTCAGGCTGCGCTGCGCCCTCGCTGCATCCCTGTTGGCGGTGTCGAGTCGGTGAGCGCAGCCTTGCGATTGAGGAGAGAGCGAGCAGAGGAGAGGACAGGAGAGGAGAGAGAGAGAGAGAGAGAGGGAGAGAGGGCGAGAGAGAGAGACAAGGAGGAGGAGAAGCTGGGAAGGAGGGTCCAGTCAGCCAAGGCCTGTCAATCAGCCGCCTGGCTTCGGGGGTGATGTAGAGGCCTGTGGAGACTAGATTACACTGCAAAAAAAATAAACATCTGATCAACTGATTCAGCCTCACAGAACGTTCGCAACAACCCGTTCATTCATTTGTCAGTGCTTCAAGGGCATAAAAAATGAATCTCTTCCTTCCAAAGCTGTCACATTGGAAGCAGTGCACAGTGGAGCTTTTAAGGCAGTAACAGGCTGTAAATGACACAGCACAAGATTATCTCTGACTTGGAGACAATTTTAAGCAAGATGCATGTACAGCAAAGATGAGTGGTGATCTAATGTTTAGTTTAGCTGTATTTAGAGCAAATGCAATCATTTGACATCAGATACAAATTTAACAATGACCTCCAGCAAAACTCAAAAAATTAATATAAAATCCTCATTTCTCAAACCGAAAGTGAAATTTGATTCACATTGTGGTGACACCTAGAAGGCCTCAGAAGAACAAACCAACACCAACCCAGCCCTCTCATTACTCATCCAGTTGTTGAAATCCAAAGTCTGGATAACGCCAAGACAGACGCTTCCATCTCACTGGAGAAAATATTGTCAATTATTTTGATAAGCACTGTCTCGCTCTCTCTCTCTGTCTGTCTGTCTTTGCCCAGTTGTCGATGTCGTTCCTTTGGATGCTAACAGCAGCAGACAACGCTGACATGCACAACAGATTTCAATCTGACACTTTATGGAGATTTATTCAGCCTATATCCCATGTATGTGTGGGCTGTGCGCTGTGTTTTTGGTGAATTTGTGGCTTTTGGCATGTCTCAAGCAGGCTGTCTTTAAACATGAATAAGTAATGCGCGCAGCCTGTCATGTGAAATGTGTGAGGAGGAGCTGAGAGTGTGCAAGGTCAACCTTCCAATCTTTCACTTCTTTAACGCCGACCGCTGACACAACTTATGCGGTTGAAACCTCCGGCCCCGACGGGGAAAGACGCTGTGTTATGGGGACATTTTATATCTCGGGGGAGAATGTGTGCATGTGTGTTCAGATACAGAATATAAAAAATTATGATTTTACTCGGAGGACCGCTAACGATTCATGGGGATTGTAAAAAAAAATTGCTCCTGGCAGTTAACTGAGGCCTATGATTCATTCGACCCATTCAGTTAATATTAGCAACAGAAGAAAGACTTTGTTTTTTCTTTTTAAATCTTACATCTTTTTTTCATTTCATATTTAAAAAAGTAGTTCAGGACTTTGAGAAATGTGGCCGTCGGCTTTTGTTATCACGAGTTAAGACTGATGCCACTCTCATGCTTGTATAAAGACCAGAGAGACGGCAGCTAGCCGAGCAAGCTTTAAAAGTGCTGATACTTGGATTCTATTATGTCTGGATGGAGTCAGGTTAGCCATTTCCCTGTTTTTAGGCTTTATGCTCATCTTTTGGCCATACAGGCATGAGAGTAGTATAATTCTTCTCATCTAACCCTCCGCAGGAAAGAGAATTACCATATTTCCCAGAATGTAAAACTACTCCTTTGATTCTAACATTTGAGTGCCTACTTTCATGTCTAGAAATTTAAGCCTTTTTTTCATATCTAATTCTGCATTTTTCCTCGCTGTGAATGCCCAGTGAGAAAAATGAAAGAATGCATAAATAGTTCCCATAGGTCACCTGATGAACTGGGATTTCTCCCCCCCCTCTCCCCTCCCCAGCATCCACCAAGCAAAATGCGACGTTACCACGCCGTGATTTATGGAAAGATCATGACCACAATTATATTTGCCACGAGTAACGTTCTTCTATCACGCTTCTGTCCCAAATGAGGCTCCTGAAAGACCTATAAAACTGTCAAACATACCCTGATTTATGCTGAAATTCTGTTTTACCCCCTCCTGGCCATGTGTGTAGCTACAAAAGTGTATTTTTTTTTCTTTCTTGTGTGTCTGTGTGTGTGTGTGTGTGTGTGTCTGTGTGTGTGTGTGTGTGTGTGTGTGTGTGTGAAGCAGCCACCTCCACACATTTGTTAAGGGTCCAATTATGATGATGATTTGTTCCCTGCAATGGCTTTACTTGGATGACCTAATTTCCTCATTGAGTGTGGGGGGAAGAAGGGAAAAAAAAAAAAATACTACTCCTCTTTTCTTCTCCTCCCTCTACGCTCGCTCCTTCCTTCTTTTTCTTCTTCTTCTCCTCCTCCTCTTACTTCTTCTGCTGCCATGATGCTGCATTCATCCATGCGGTGACAAAACATTGCTGTCATGCATTCCAGCGGCGACAGAGTGACACGGCCCCTTAAACCCTTGTCATTCCCTCCACCACACACATGCATGCATGCACCCAAACACACACACACACACATCCTGCAATGCCTTGTGGAAGAGACTGGTTTTGCATAATGACATTTCAAGGCTACACAAACACATGCAGTGACAATTTGCTGACAGAGCTGAGTGACAGTAGCCTAACAAACATTCGATACGTGTCATGTGTTTCCTCATTCCTTCGCGTTCATAACTTTATCTGTCTCAGGCTTTCCGAAGATTTATTTCCACAAGGAAGTGCTGATTTCTTTCTAACAGTTAATTTAGCCTAAAAGGATTTTGTCTTTTATTTGCCTTCCTCCTCTTTTGACCTCTAGTTTCACCTCCTCACCCTGCTTGGCCTCTCCAGATCAGCCTTTCAACTTTTTCTCTGCAGCAGTCCTCTAACCAGGTAGCCTATTTCTCCTTGTTACTCCCTCACAAACAAATAAACACATTTCGGAGAGTCAGAGCTTTTCTCAAACAAAGGACAGTTACAAACTTGGATGAGCACGCCAGGCAGCGCAGCGGGAGCGTGCGCAAGTGTGTGCGTGCTGCATGCATGTGCCATTGGTGCCGATCACTTGTTTGACAAGGGGCAGAGGTGATGACAGGGTCGTCTGCCTTGCCAGGAACTCCCCCCTCAGCCACCACACTCTATATACACACACACCCTTAGCCCTATTCAAAGCCACTCACTCATGTGGTAATGTCTCTATTGTGACAGCCTGAACGCTTTATGGGCAACAGCTTGGTGCTGGCATTTGGGCAAAGGCATGTGTGTGCATATGAGCATGTGGGTTAGTGTGTGTGGGGCTGTTGTCTGGCTCATCCACTGTGGAATCTGCTCATCTAGAGCTTCAAGCATTGAGCGGGTTTTCGGTTCCAGATCGGTGACAAAGTAGCAAAGAATTGCAGGACCGGGAATGGGAAGGAGAGGCGCTTTCAGGTGCCAAGGACAAAGGACAGGCACACACACACACACACGCTGCACAAGCATATATGTGTATATACTAATGTAGATATATATATACACACTTCATTCCACTTCACTTCTCTCTTACTTTCCTACCGCCAGCGTTTCAGTTAAGCAGGCAGAGCGATTCGTCATGTCAGAGCCCTGGTGCTGCCATACAACAAAAGGTGAAAGGGAGTGTGGGAAAGGGCTGGTGCACAAAGCCCTCCCTGCCCCCGTACGTCTAACTGTCTCGGTTGCATACGCGAGTCGAGAGCTCCTTCAGCATCCCCCCACCGTGCAGCATCCGAGGCCCCTATCTGCAAAAACACAACCAATCTCCCTAAACCCAGATATATCCCTCCATATCTCCGGCTTACTTGTTCATTTTTTGATGCGGTACACCTTAGCTGGGGCATTAACACTAACACACCCAGGAGTCTTTTTTTTTTTTTTTTCCTCGAGCCGCAGATCCTAAATGTATGTAAGTTCATAGATAGTGTGCCAAAATATCTCAACATCAGGTCTCTGAAGCCCCCCCCAAAAAACCCTTTAACTCAGTCCAGACAAGCATTCAGCCAGAGAGATAGAGGGAGGAAGAGACTGTGGGACAGAGGGAGGGAGAAAGAGATAAAAACAGCTATTCAGGGAGGAAAATCTGCTTGTGTCTGCCAGCTCTGCCCACAAAAAGGGAGCAGGAGAGAGAAGGAGGATCTCCTTGAGACTGACGCCAGCTATGCAGACAGAGAGGCAAACAAACAAACAGACAGACAGACAAATAGAAAAGGCAGAGGGAGGAGGATATTCACACTGTTCCAAGTGTCTTCTCATCCGGGTTGAATTTGTACACCTGATTTTCTCTGGCTGCTGGCGACCAAATTGTTGGGGCTTCTCACACACACACACACACACACACACACACACACACATATATATACACTAACACACACGCGCATTGAGCAACTGCTGACTCGTAGGCAAAGTGAATGTTGTCTGGCATATACAGTAGCTGAGCCCAGAGAAAGGATATTTACCGTAAGTCTGCTGAGGAAGAGCAGTCAGTGTCTTACCATCTCAATCATGTCCTTCTCAAACAGAGGAACGATTTAACAATCAATGAAAACTGACCTTGCCTTCCTGTATCACATTCCCCCGCCGGGCCTGACCTATTAGCCAATGATGAGAAAACATGCAGATTCACTGATGGAGATAAGGTGAACAACAATTTGAATAACAGAAAAAGGTCATTTATCCCCCCCGTCCGCAAAAGGAAGCAAACATCTATCTTTATGTCGTCCGCAAAATGAATGGTAGCAAGTCGGGAGGTTTATGTTATTCGCTCCTGCCAGTGTCCCATCATATCAAAGGCGTTAAAAGAGAGAGGGATGGATGGATAAAAGGAAGGATGGAGTCATCATGATGAATTGGAGCATGCCCAAACTGTGACAGTCTGTTGGCAAAGAGAGGACGGAGAGATGCCCAACTCGGAGCTCAGTCATTTCTTGCTCGCCTGATGCCGTATATGGATAGAGTGGCGGAGATCAAGCAGAATATGAAAAGCGATTT